TGCTCTGTGAGGGTTTAACCACTAGATGTCAGCATAGTCCAAGCGAATATCAGCTAAATGAAGCCAGAATGAACACTGGGGTCACAGCCTTTGGTGAAGTGTTTCCTGGCAACTGGATGTTTCTTTGTAAAATATGTGTGCTGTGGTGGGAGAACTTCTCCAAGCTTTCACTGATGTAAAAAAACAAACTAACAATTCAACAGATTGATGAACTGAAAAATCACAGAAGCAAAAGAGAAGAAGTAGTGATGCATCAGAAAATACAGTATTTAAAAAAAAAGCTGGTGTAACTCCTCACTTTATAAATGCATTGTTTCCTAACTGAACATGTTAGTATTCAGTCAGTGAAGGAAGCAGCTGAACGCAGGCAATTGAATCTTTTTGCCCACAGAATTATTGGTCTTTAAAGATGAAAGAACATCTGATCTAAACCTTTAAGAGTAAATCCTAAAAATATTATTTTAAATGTGAACTGATATGGTGTTTAGATATAAAATTAAAGATTAAAATATCTGTTGATTATGATACCTAGCTTCCCATTTTATACATATATATCATTTTAACTCAGAATAATCATATCTATAGATTTATTTGGTTGATGCAGGTACATAGACTATGCAGTAAAAGTATAAAATCATGGCGGACACTCAGACATCTAATCTAGGATAATCATAGTAGACCTGATAAGATTTAAATAGTCTACATGCAGGAGATAAGGTTGCTGCAGCATTAACAAACCACTGCTCTTCAGACTCATGCATGCCGAGCTAAGCAGCTCTGATAAGATGTCAGCCCTTTAGAACCTTTTCTGCCAACGGAAAAGATAAGAGAACACAGCAGCTGCGTTCTTCACGTATTCTGTGTCAGGTTGTCGTAGCAGATTCTGGAATAGTCCCAGGTGCACCGCTGAAGGAAGTGGTTCAAAGTTAAGTGAGGAGAAGTCTTCATAGGCCATGGACATGAAGGTTTTATTACATGCAGGGTCACTCATAATGTTTGACTAATGTTTAACTAAAGTTTTTTTTTTTTTTACAGACAAAGTGCCATATAATCAGTCTCTTGATGTGAAAAACAACTTCTTTTTCACATCATGTGACTGATTTATCTAGGCCATGCTGCCTGGAACTGGGCAGGGAGAAAAACAATCCTTATCTGGAAACTTTTTTTATTTGTATATTTTGCTCAGATACAAAAAAAAATCTTATCAAAACCAAAATATCCCTTTAGTCAAAATGTATTTAACACAGTTTAAACAATACATTTACTTAGACAGATATAATATAAACGTTTTTTTTTTCTCCCTGTCTGACTGTAAATCAGACTCATAATTTATTATCTTAGGTTATTTAAAACTATAAGCAATATATCTATTTGTGAAATGGCAGAATACAGACACCAGCAGTTGAGCAACATCTCTTCTGGGATTTTGGGGACCTTCCTATAAGTTTCTTACAATAGTTTACTGGGATTTTTTCTGCAGTCTTCCTCATACACATTTTCAGCTCTGCTCACAAGTTTTCTTGATCACAGATAGTATCCTTAATGATCACTGCCCATTTCACTTCTAAGGATTTACTTCCTGGCTGACATCTTAAGATGTTTCCACACAATGTTAGCCACACAGCATAACAGCACCCCCCATTCCTCGCTGTTTGGACGATTGCAAGCGACCTCATTTTTCCTCTAAATAAATCTATGGTCTTCATAACCTAACCTTTTTATTTGGGTTTCAAATGTAAAAGTTAAGATCTTTGTACCTGCTCCAAATCTGGCTTTTTTTGTGTTGTTTTTGGATTTCTTCTTTCTGGCTGAACAGCCTTTTAATTCATGTTGGTACAGGATTTGTTTCGCTGCTGCATAAGAACAGCGTCTTACCAGCTTTAACATCAAGTTCACATTGTATCAAACAAATGGTATGATAGCCGCACATTCCAATTTTACTTCAGATTTTTTGAAAAAGAATATTGCTCCTTCAGGTTGTTAGAAGTATGAAGGGATGAAGCAGACCTGTGGAGGCTCTCAATTATCTTTATATGTCTTAGCTTTTTTTTTTTTTTATGTTTTTCTTACATATCTCACAAGAAGCACAACTGCAAACAGTCTAGCAATAAGTAAAAATGTCTTAAACTAAGTTTATCTGCCCTTCACTAATCTAGGTAAATAAGATGATTTGCAAATGGAATGTTTTTTTTTTAAATTTTAAATAAGATAATTAGATAATATGCTGTTGAAATAAGACAATGCAATCACTTTGTAAATTGTCTTGTTCCATTTGCAAATTGTCTCACTTATCTCCTCAATTCAAGAACAAATGCACTTATTCTAAGAAAAAAATGACTTTAGATTTCATTTTTTTGCAGTGTATTTGAGGTTCCCTTCGATTAATACATGTGTGACTCTATTAAAGTCAAGTGTTTTAAGTAAATTCACCAGAAGTGCACAAATCCATGCCATTATTATTTGGACTTCTAAATATCTATAAGACCATAGCTCCATATAGGTATAATTCATTCACTATAGGGGATTTAAAACCTCTTAAAGTAAATGCAATGATATCCTAAAAATGGTTCTTCTCATAATTTTGGCATTAAGCATATAACAATGAGGTTGGTAGCCATAACTGACCTAAAACAGTAAAAGTGAAATCTGATTTTATGTCAGGGATTGAAATAAAAGGTAACATGTTTATTTTTAGAGTGAAAGTTTTTACAGAATTTGTAAATATTTTTCTCCAGTATGCCTAATCATGTAAAGTGTGCAGGTTTTGCTCTTATCAACATGAATAATTCTCAGCATGAGGATGTGGTTGTCCATAAGGAAGCCAGATGTGTGTACAAACATTCATTAACACTCCCAGAGCCACAGTGGGCTGTCTCAGCCCGTCTCATCCTGCGTTCAGCTACCAGCCGACGACGCTGGTTTGGAAGTGGGCCCCGTTTGCCCTGAGGAAACTTATCTACGACGTGTATCCCTTGTCTCTGTCACTGCGCCCAGCAGATGGGAAAACCGCATGGCAGTGGGAGGGAGAATATCTCTGATGTTCTTTTTCTTGGCATGACTTAAATGATAACGACTTAAAAATTTGATTTGCTTTCTCTTGGAGTGGCTCAGATAAGGAGGGCAACGAATGTTCTTTTTCCATCAGGGATGACGAGCTGGTTTATGAACCGCAACAGCAGTTCAGGAGGTGCTATTGTGTGGTTAACAGACCTAGATTGAAGTCTAGCAGTTCGTGAAATAGATTCTAAAATATTCAAGGATGTTCTTACCTTGTTTTTTCCTCCTATCTGCTTTAAAAATACTTTTTAAATGAGCTCTACATGCGTCGTCTAAACTGGTATCAGTTTTATCCAGTGTCCTGAAATTTTACTGAAAAGTTAAACTGAAATACAGTTTATGCTTTTAAGTGACACAGCATATACACACAGCTTATATATATATATATATATATATATGTGTCTTGGTTTTATAACCTCACCATGCTTCTCCACAGTTTTATTCTGTAAAGGCCATTACAGAATAGTACGATTTTTTTTTTTTTACAGTGCTGTAATTTGGTATATACTGAACAGATAGAAGATATCTGAGGCTTTTTCATCGCTGACCGAAAAATCACAGAGATTTCTCTAATTGATTTCACTCTTCAAACTATCAGTGTCCTTGAAGTTTGCCAAATGCCAGTGATTTCTGATAAAAGATAAAACGGTAATGAAAAAAGGGACTTTCACATGGAAGGTCGTGGACAGAAGGGGGGGCAGAAGAGTGAACATGTCAGACAAATCGATAGCTTATATATTAGACTCTTCCACAGATTTATCTCAGAGTCCACCGATGGCTGTCAATTTTAATCAACAGAGGCAATAAGGTTGGGTAGCAGCTCCCTTTTGACCCTGCAAGGTCAAGCAGTTATAGACGATGGATGGATGTATGAAATACTTCAGTTGTTTCTATCGGAATAGTATTTTAGCTGGAAAGATATTAAAAACATCTCCATGACTAAAGGGAATATATGGTTGAATGAGAGAACAAAATGTTGAGATCCAAACAAAAGATGCCTAAAAGTATAAACATGACTTTAACCGTAAACATAAGCCCAATGTTAAGCCAATAGTTTTTTGGGGTTGCTAACGGTTATGTTAGCAGCATATGTATGATTAGGTGTGAAACAATCACTAAAGGCAGTTTTATAGCCTGCAGCAGGCCAGCACGGGACATGTTTGAGTCAACCTTTATGTAAATTGGGGGAATGACATAACCTTAATCAAATCGGTAGGAAGTTCTTTCGCCCAGGTGTTCAACTAGCAGAGGTGAAAAAGGAATAAACCTGCAGAGGAAGATAATTTTATATATAGCATAAAGGACTCTCATCAGAATTAAGAGTAAGATCAAATAGAATATACCAATTTAATTCTGAAATTCTTTACATTATTTGGGAACTGCAGTACAATTATTTTACTCTTCAGTCCAATATCGGAAATAATGACAACTTAGAATCTTCATTTGAAAAAAATGAAACCAATTACATTCATTTCACCTCAAGGGTTTGTTGTCGATTTGACATTTTAATTTTCCCTCTTCAGGAACCCTATCTTGTCTCTTTCCATCTCTTAGTTTTTATCCGCTCTGTTGTATTCAATTTTGATCCCAAAATAATTTTCAATAAATTTCCATATAAAAATACAAAGCTGAACCTTTATGGCAACAGTCATTTTGGTCTGCTGACAGAAAATCTGTTGGGCTGTCATGTAGCTCTGAGACATCATTCCCAGAACTATATTCAATTGAAAAATAGAAACCAGTTGGATTCGTTTCAGAGATTTTAACGTGCATGTATAACTTAAAACCTATTCATAGAATCTACAAAAAGGTGTTTTTCTTCAATGAAAAACTTTAATTTCCTCTGATCGATGTGGACCTATACTCTCCCCTCAGCACTAAATATTCAAGACTCTCCACAAGGCAGCATGAAAGAGTGACTGAGATTCGTTTTTTTTCTAAAAAAAAAAAAGAATCTTTATTAATACTTTCTCATATTTAAAAAGCAAAGTGTTCACAAAAAAAAGCCTTCACTTTGAGTTAATTTACAGAAAACTCTGGCATTTGCTTCAGAAAACAGAAACAAATCACTATTGAGAGAACTAAAGTCCTCCCCCTGCAGTGACTGAACTCAACCTTGTCCACATTACAGAAACTACATTTTTCTTTATAAGAAATACAAAATGTCTGAAAAAAAAAAAGTTGAAAAGAAAAGGAAAAGAAAAGGTTTGCTGCTACATTATGGCAAAACCTCCCAATGGACATGAAAAACTTTATAAAGTGACACTTTTTGCATTAAATAGTCTTTGAATTTAAATAAAACAGACGACGAAAAGCTTGGCGAAACAAGCAAGTATTGCACAAATATCTCCAAGTACCCTTTAAAATATCCAAGAAAATAAACTAATAAAATCCTGAAGACAAATTTATCACAGACTATTTAGAAGAAGCAGCTTGCACTTTGGGCCAATTTTAGTTTCTGTAAGAACCAGTTTCCATATTTTACTCTATAATTAAGCAGAGTTTTGGAGTTAAACTGTTCAGGGAGTGTTGGACAAGAGCGTGGTGCTCTTACTGCCTCTTATAACCAATTAGTATCCAGAAATGTATTTGGCAGCAAGGATGCTTAGTCTAAATACTCCTTATTGTGTTTGGGGAGAAAAAAAAAAAAGACAAAACTCCAACGCGCTCTCCTAAACCCCAAAATAAAATCTGTAAAGTAAAACAAGAGTTTTAAAAAAATTCAGAAACATTAAAATATAACTTACAAATCAAACCACCATCATGGTTAGCTACTCTTAAAAAACAAAAAAAGATTTCTGGAGCCATGAGCCAAGAAATGCAATTGAAAAAAAAACAACTGCAATGATTATAATTCAGTATCAGATCAACTGATACCATAATTTAACAATAAGAGCAAGATCTAAAAAAAAGAATCCAACTGGGGTGTTTGACAATGTGGGAAAAAAATAAAAATAAAAATGCTCGGAGTAATCCAAAGGTGTGGAGTATGAATTAATGAGGCATGTTTCTTTGTGAAATTCTGCTGCTGGAGTTTAAAGTGTCCATAGTGGAGTTGTGGGGAGTTTCTCAAGTCTTTACGCATGGCAGAGCTTGTGTTCATACTCCGTGGTGGAGCAGCTGTCGGGAGAGTCTGTGTCCCTGTGGATGGGAGTGGGAACGCTGCTGCGGTGATGGTGGTTGTCGTTTAGCGTCAGGCTGAGGAGGCTGGTGCAGGTGGGCAGGTAGACGTGCTGGACATGCTCCACCTCTGACCGACACACCGGACACAGCTGAGGGAAGGGAGACAACGTTTAGTCATTCATCCACAAGTCCTAAACACATGAATTTCAATTCCAGTGGTTTAAAGCTTTCATAACCAACAGCCCTTCACAAGCTTTAATAAAAATGGTATTTTTATTAAAGCTTGTGAAGGGGTTCATCTGGTAAAAGCTCATAGACACTAAATATCAACAGTAGGCAAAAGTTAACTCAGTTTAAGTGAATTTTGTATGCCTCTCTAGCCCACTTTGCACCAATACAATGCAGTGCAACCAATTACCAAACTGAATCAATCTTTTCCTGGAAAGGACTTAAATTTCAAATGAGAATCAAAGCGCAAGGAAACCCCAGGAAATGTCTAACTCACTTCACTAACTTCACTTAAACTAATGAGGTGGAGTTCAGTCCTGAATTCAGTGAATCTGTAAATCCTTTGGAGCTTCACTGATTTTGCAGAACGAGCACAAATGTCAGGATCTGCATATGCTAGCTATTCAAATAAAAACAAAAAATCTGTCTCATCTGTGATAAACGCTGACAACACTCATTTCATTTTTTCACCCGAAAGGAAAACTTTTGCATGGCTCTATACATCTTAGCCTTAGTACTGAATGGAGAAAAAAAAAAATCTCTTGTCGTTCTAAACCATAACTGTGCTACTGATAATCATCATAAACCTCCCAAGTTGCATTATTGACAGTAAACACAATTAAGACTAAGGTAAATGCTGCTCCCAGAAGTGTATTCCAAAGCATTAGGAAGGGTAAAAACTAAAACAAGTTTGACGTTCTTCCTGTGGCCAACTCATTCCCCCCTACAGTAGCTGGGTCATGTTTCCAGCTCAGCTAATGGTGAGATTTGCCTGGCTGCTGTAATCCCTTTAGAAGACAAACTCTCTCGCACACGTGCACAAAAATCAGCCTTCACAAAGACGGACGCATTTAGCTGATTAAATGAGGGGACAATCAGTTCATCGAGAGTTTAAGCAAGCCTCTGGAAGTTGTTAAAAGCACCATAAAAGGATAAGACCGAGGAGCTGAAACGTAATTAGAATCTTTTAGGGAAATTGCAAAATCTCAGCATAAGAGTGATAAACTGAGCCAGAGCAAAGTGAGCATAGCTTTAATATAAAAAGCTTTTTCATTCACAGCACTTAGAAAGTTAATCAACATCTCCAAGAATAGAGAGCAGTCTCACCTGCAGCTGATTTGCACAGTTCTGGCAGCACACCATGTGGCCACAGGGACAAAAAGCTGCGTCTATCTCCTCCTCGCAACACAACATGCACAGCAGGGCTTCTTTGAGTTTCTGCAGCCGTTCCTGCAGGGCACGGCTCTGCTGGCAGCTGCTGCAGTCCAGCTCCTTGTCCTGCTGGCTGTCCCTGGATGGGGAGCTGGAAGGAGAAGAGCGCAGGCTGCTCTCCGAGCGGGACGCCAAGTCTGCAACGCCAGCGTTGTACAGCGCACGGCGAGCGTGATCGTACACTTCCTTGGAGGTTCTTCTGATGTCAAAGACGTATTTCTTGCCCACATTGATGTTTTCATTCAGGAATAGAGAAGCCAGGTGGCCCTTAAAGTCTCTGCTGTACTGCATCATCACTGCATTGGTAACTGTATCACACCTGAGGAGACAAATAAATGTGATTAGCATTTTTGACATGCAAATCAACTCAAAATTTAGAAGCTAAAATTTAGTTTCAGTTATTCAATACTTCCAGTTTTATGGAATAATATTCTGTTAACAGTTTTGGGACAATAACCCGTTTCCCTGGCTTCAATATGCCTTCACATGACATCTAGTAAATGTGTAAGGATGCATGACACTGTGCTCATCTGAGTGTTTATCACCATCAGTCATGTTTTACTGGCAAATGTTCACTTCTTTAGGTGAATGACTAACAGACTGCTCCCAAACAACCATATTAAAGTCAGCAATAAGCAGAGCAGCAGGGTTAAAAATTAATGCTAGGCGTTTTCTTGGCTTAAAGATAAAGTTTATTTCCAGGCTTATCTTTCATGACTCAAACCGGTTCTGTGACAATGTATTCATCAAAAGGGACATTTGTTAGTTTAACCATCGCGGCGCAGCCTGGGGTTGAGTACGGTCACGGTTGAGCTGATCTCACCTGTAGAAGGCGTGCGTCTCTGTGATGGCTCGGTACAGACCGCTCGCTGCCCGGTTGCTGATCAACTTGAATAAAAGAACAACGCTGTCGTTTGTGTCCTTTGTTACAGTTAGGTAGACACTTTTCCCCGACTGCGTGGCAATCTGGATGATGGGATAGCTCACTCTAAAATAAGAAAAAAAGAAATTCATATTTAACTGTAAGAAGTGACATTTTTAAAGAAGGGATGTCAAATGTATATCTGTGATATTATGGCCGAATTTACCTGTTAACTAGACTGAAGTCCTCCTTACAAATGGCGATCCCCTCTGGCCCGACTCCAATAGCCAAGCGCTGACCATTTGCATCCCGAACCCAGTGCCACTCCACGCCGTAATGCTCCAAGGCAGAGATGAGCTGCAGGGCCTGGTACTCTACTGAGGCCTGGCTGAAACCCTCTAAAGCTTTGTGTCTGGAGACAATGCTGTAGGAGAAATAAAGTGCAAAGCAGTGAGGAAAAAGCTGGATCAACTTAGATTATTTACACTAAAAGGCTTAAGAATGCAACTGACCAAGACCCTTAGTATATAAAGCATAAGAGTGAGGAAGTCCTCCCAGCATCTTTTGATGCACACAGCTGGTTATACGTTTTAAAGGAATCTATTGGAATGTTTAATGAAAATCTGTTGTGAAAGCTAAACAGCAACCAGTTTTAAACCAACTTGGTATAAAACTGGTTGAACTTGTAGCATGTTAGAGCAGCCGCTGTTTAGTCAAATCAACATACCCCGTCATACCAGTATACCTATTGCCAATACGCATGCGCAAGATGTCAGATTTGTGACTTTAAATTACGTCAACGGGCGTGTATGCCTTTAGTCGGGTACAAAAACAATTTAAGGTCAGATCGCCATACGCTTCAAAACGCCAAAAAGCAATTAAATAGTTTGTTTGTACATGACACCCATTGAAGTAGTTTAAAGTGTATTTTTCATACAAAACTAAAGGGATAAATAAATTTGCTGGTCTGACAGAACACCGGCTGCTGGTAGGCAACAGGAACAATACTGCAACTTATTAACAAGCTAATAATAGCTTTATATCAAGGTTAGCAATTGTGTTTGCAACAATATAGAATACCTAATAAGTCAAATGTTGGCTAAAAGAAACTCAACCTTTTTCATTTGCCGTTTCTTTGTGCAAATAAAGTGATGTTGTCTAATTATGCTCAAGGTTAATTCACATGATCGTCATACAGACCAGTGCCAAAAAGCTTCTTTTAGCCTGAATCCTTCAGAAAAAAAGAAATTGAGACAAACTGTGCGGCATTAAGCCTAAGGTGGAGATAAATGTCAGAACATTCAGAAGATAAGTTGGTGTAAACTGAGCAGCTAAAACTAATATCATGACTTGAAAAGAGCTACAGACGTAAAAGACATGAATAACCACTGAGGGACAGTAGGAGCGATGAGTTTCATTCTTGTTTGACAGTTATGCAACAAGAGTTCATGTTTTCACACAAAAACAGTGGCTTAATAGATAAAGCTTTGCAGCAGAAGATCTGCCAGAGGTAGGATGCAAAAATAGACGTTATCTGATCTCTTGTCAGCAGCTGTGCTTGTTCAGTGGCTCTGGCTGTTTTTTTTTTTTATAGAGCATGTGATTAAATGGTTCTGTCATTAACCCTACATAAGCTTTTTACTCTCGTCATGCAGTTTATTCAATTTGCTTTTACATGTTACAGTAGGCAGACGGCCTCAAGAAGGTCATGGTTGTAATTAAACTAAAAGTTGATCACAGCAGCTTATTGCTTTCACTGCACAGATTTCTGTCAAGTCTCTGAGTTGGACCGAGTGGTTTGTACCTGTTCATGGTAGCAGTGTCTGGCTCCTCTCCACACAACTCTGAATACCAGTACTGAGCCGTGTTTTGGTTGTAGTCTCCGAACTCTGCCTGTGCCAGCAGAGCACTTAGCTCCTCTGCCTGTTCGGAGCACATCCGAAGGTGTCCACTGTGGAGGTCGTCCTTCACATGCATGAAGAACAGGTGTCTGAGGAACACAAACACAAAATGGAGAACATGAGCCTGCATGTTCAGTCTTCTTGGTTATAACTTTAAACAGAGTCAAAGTAAAAACAGTCCAGTTTCACTTCCTAGCCCACTTCCACTAAATACTCTACATCTGGTTAGCATCTCATCCCAGAAAGTAAGAGTTTTACAGAACATGTAAAGGAGGAAACACTAGACTAATTTCCCCAATTTCACTTTTTAAAATATTTTTTTAATCTTACGGATAGTTTTGCTTAACTGTTCCAGTCCCTAAAAGGTACAACTTTAAAAAAAAAACTGTGCCTGGAAATCCTGATGGGAACACCAAACAGCCTCTTTTGAGAAAACGGTGGGCCTTTCCATTGTTTTCAAACAGAAGATGTTGGGAACAACTTCTAGCTGCAGGAGGCAACAGAAGCAACACACTGACTGACTAAATCATTACGTATATCTTAAGGAAAACAGACGTTAGGTAGCCTTGCACATCCTTCAGTCAGATGACCTATGCCTCAGTAACCTAAAGAGGATTAGAGGCCCGTCTTAACCTGCCTGCATTGTGAACTCCACTTTAAAACCCTTTTACCATCTTACTACATCAACATCTTGTTGCAGCAGTTTGAAATAACAGTGCCTTGACCTGCTTCGTTTTTCATCTAAAAAGAAACCACCCCCCTGGGCTAAACAGCTCAGAAGCATGATGGGTTTAATAATATTTTCCATTTCTGCAAAACCAGGTCATACTAAGACAGGGGGGTCATCAAAAAGTCTTAGAAAAGCAGCACTTCGCTCATCAAGTTTTAAAATTGTAAAACAAAAATACATCTTAAGGAAGATGAAACTCGGAAATTCATAAGTTGTTTTGTCCCTTTTGTCATCTTACAGGATTAGCAAGCCCACACCTCGTGACTAAACAACCGTTTCACATCACAACAAGGACACACCTCAACCAAGAGCTTCCAAGTAGCATCAACAGCAGCCGAGAGGCACACAAACAATGTCAGCGCACACCGAACTCTGCAAGAGCCAGACTGTAACAGCCAAGCCCCCATGGCCGAGTAGCCTCAGGCATAACAAACAGGGCTTTGATATGGTGTTAAACATCCCATTCCCTCCAACACACAAACACTGAGCTCCATTGTATGAGGCCCAGCAGGCAACATGTGACGGAGCGCCGCTCGTGAAATACCTGCATGATGCAAACAATAGGGGCCAACCTGACTGGGAGTTTACAACAGGTTGTTGGTTAAAAAGGTAACTACAGGGCAAGACGTAGAGGTTACTCTAGTTCACATGAAGATTGACAAGGTTACTATTGGTCACAGACCAGGGTTTAGTTTCAGGAAACGGAAAGAATGAGTGTTATCTCTGACAAGCCTGAAATTACCCATGGTTACTGTTCAACTTCTGACTTGCAATATACATGTGCACATTTTTTGGAGAAATAAACAAAAAAAAAAAATCCACTTTCAGGGCCCTGCTGCAGAGATAATCAGATAAACAAAACTCTTACAAATCTTGTTATGAAGTCAAGGAACAAATTGTGGTTCTGCCAAAAAGCCATGAGATTCTTAATTTAGATTCATACAAGTAACAAAAAAATAAATGAAGTTCATTTATACCATTTCCATAATTAGATATATTTTAAATGATAAAAATAACACAGCCAGAACTTTCTAAAGAATATCAGGTACTAAAGAATCAGTGCCACCTACTCACTTGTCCCTACACTGTTGTGTGATATTTGCCTCAACTTAATGGAAACTTAAAACATGGGATGTAGTATCAGCTTTGGATATTAATATACACACACACATATTTTTTATTTTTTTTTATTTAGGGCAAGAGATTACTATCAAAACCAAGGGGAATAAAAGTTAGATCAGCAGACTTTGTCACAACTAGATAAAGCCCCATCATAAAGAGCTTTATTGTTTTAGCACCTCTTAATCTCACTGTGCCCTAAAAAGGGGGAATCTAAATACTGCAATACCATGAGCGGTTATTCTATTCTATTACGGTGCTAAATACAAAGACTGGGTGGTACACTGATGCTTTGGCTCCTTCCAAAGTCGGACACTTTGAACACCAAGTATAAAAATCTAAAACAGATTGGTGTGAGAGCATTTTCTTCAAATGGTACAGAACAGACTTAATTATCTCTTTTTTTTTTTTTATGCAACTTTCCATAGTATTAAGGAAATAACAGCTATAAAGTTATTTTCCAGCCATTTTTAATGGAGTGAGCAATGCTATGAATAACTGGCTCACCCAGTCTCTAAACTTTGCTCGCAATAAAGCAGAACAAATCAGTTTCTTCTCTTCATGGCCCAGTTATTTTATTTACAGGATCAAGAAGCAATGTTCTGAGAAAAACATGCACACGTGTACTTCTTACAGTCACAGCGTTGCCTTTATTCTCTAGGCAGCCTGCAACACAACACAGACTTCCTGGCATTCAGTCTGTGTTGAGGCCAGAGCCTCCTGCCCTACTTTTACTGGAGTATACTGTTCACCGTGTTATCCTTTAAAGAGATAAAGCACAATTAAAGTTTTAATAGGATAATTCATTAGAGGGCATAAGATTTAAAGTCCCACAAGAATGCAAGTACTCAGGTTACTTTTTTTTCTTCCTCTGCCTGCAAGTGCCTAAGGCTTTAGATTCAGATGCCTACATTTCTGCATGTTCGCTTCCAAAACAACACAAAAATAAAAGATTAACTCAACCGTCTGTAAGCGGTGCCTTGTTTTACTGTTTTCTGCCCCTATTTACTGTCAAACTGAGAAAGTCAGTTTTTAAAACAGAGGAACAAAGAGTCCCCACAAATTGAAACTCAACACCGCTGCTTCAAAGACCGCTCTACATTCAGCCAATCAGCATTCGACTTTCTAACCACAGCGGTTGGACTCCCAACAATGTGGTTTGTGAGCTAGTCAAATAACTTGCTGCTAGCAGCTATTGAGCAGCGAGGTTACTCCCAGTCAATGACCGATAGTTACCTCTGCTCAACAACTTCTGGAACACTTGTGGGTGGAGTGTGAAGAAACGTGTAAATGAGCAACTGAAGATAAAAGTAGAGCCACATTAATTCCAGGCACTGTTTAACACATGTGCTTTTGCACTGTGACAAACTGAAGTGAAAAGCCACGTAGCGATAAAACAAAGAGGCCATTTGTGAGCTGCATGGGTCACAGGCTAGTAAAACCATAATTACAGCCAAGGTTGTGTTGTTGAATAAATAAAACTGCAAGTTCTCAGTACCGGGAGAGTAAAAAAAAACAAAAAAAAAATCAAACATTTCAGAAGTGCGTGAGAAAAGCATTTTCATTTAAACATAGAAGGTATGTTTTTGACAGCTCTAAGATCTTAAAGGCTGGTGAGATCATGGTGTGTACACACGGGGCCAGAACAGATTACCAGGATCTGGTTCTGCAGAAAATGCTGCAAAGCTCTGCATCATTTGCTGCACTCTGGACGGTTGACTGAAAGAGGGACACTGGATTGTTCTCTCGGTATTTGGAAATGGTTCCAGTTTCAAAAACACGACAGTCATGCAGTGGAAATAAAACCCACCAATAAAAAGGCATCATTTTACAATAAAGGTTAGTAGATGGCAGGCTAGCTAAATAATCTGCCAACATCAGCATAGTAAACCTTTTACTAGAAATCAAATGGAATGGCATAATTTAAACAAATTATTTTAATTTGATGTTCTTTAGATTTATGGAAATTAGCAGGTTAATGTTTTTACAGCTGATGAAAATATTAGCTAATCTGTATAAACATAAGCAAATATCAAATTCAATAATATACTGTTTATTATGCATTAATACCACAAAGTCAATTTGTGACATTTTAATACTACAAGTATCTCATACGGCTCTGTCTGTATGATTCAAAGAGCTTTTCTTCAGATCGATAACCTGTCACAAGACCAGAGACAAAACGAGTCATCTCAGTATTTGGCCTGTTTGAGTTTATATAATAGATGATGCCGTCCCATGACAGATCTAAAAAAATGCATCTGCTCAATTTTCCATGCAGTTTAGGGCAGGCTTTTTTTTTGTCAAAAGACATTCTAGGCACGTTTCTCTCTTAGTTTAAGTTTAAAGTAGTTTTAGTGCAAAGGCGTTGCAATAAGGTCTCATGCAAAACGTAATTTTAAGGCGCCCGAATGCTTGCCTGGACAGAGTGTTAAATGTTACCAATAAAGAAAGAAAATGTTTAACATATTTAAATCTTAGGAGTCTCTAGAGTGTTTAGTGATGCAAATAATGGATGTGGTCACTGAGGGTTGGCGGTCAGTTTCCTTTGACCAGAAAAAAAAAAAAAAAAAAAAAAAAAAAAAAAAAAAAAAGAGTTGATTGATCTTTTTTTCCCCCTTTTAAACAAAGATGATAAAATCTGATATTAAAATCACCTCAATCTTGGTTTCTTGGCAAAAATGGAATTTATAAAACAAGCATGATGTTGGAGTGAAAAAGAAAATGTGATAATTTTTTCTTTAAAAGGTGTTTAAAGCAAGAAATGAAATGGATAAAAAAAAAAAAAGTAGAAATGAGTGGGCAAAAAGAGGCTCTTAATATAATAAGCTTATGTGGGGCATTTCAGGAGTGACAGCTGCCACAGAAACCTTAGCTGGAGGTGATCCAATGTTGGCAACAGCAAAAATGAAAAAAAATAAATAAATAAATAAAAAAAAAGGATCTGCATTATTTTACAGGGAATACAAATAAAACCTGTTACAAATCATAAAACCCTCCATAAAAAAAATTATCACCATGAATTTTCATCATTGCATTACCAGCTCCTATCCAAATGTTAAATTGAGAATAAACCTCAATCTGTTCGAGCTCTAAAGTGACCAGTGGGGCTTTACGTGGCAGCTTATATAAGCAGCTCTATGTGATTTGGCAAGTTATGCAAGCAGGCATATAAGGGTGTATCAGTAATGGCCACCCGATTCACAATGAAACTAGCTTTGCTAATAAACTGCAGCAATGTTATTTTTTGTTTTTTTCCAGCGCACATGCATGTAAACATAAAAGAACGAAACAGATCACATATGCATTTACCAAGAAGATGACAAAACTACATGGAAAGTGGCCTACAGGCAAGTAAATGTCTAGCCTGATCTGTTTCATGAGTCACGTCCACTCATCTTGCTGTCAGACCAGCTCATGTGGGGAAGCGCTGTAACTGAACTGGGTGAAAGGTGACGGCAGAAGCTGCAACAGGAGTTACAACAAATAGGCTTCCGAAAAAGGCGATACGTTTGTTTTTTCTTAAAGATACATAAAAAAAAATATACCATCAGGTAAAAAAAAAAAAATATACACGACATCTGATTTGAGGTTGCTTGCATGAAACCAGACCCGCATGCAGCTGGGAAATGCAGATCAATGCATCCATTTCACAGTTATGCAGCAGCTTCACGCCTTTAATGTGATGGTTTTAAACAACCCAATGTTCTCAGCAAACATCAGCTATCTAGATAGCCACCTCTAATCTAGTGAAGGTCAGAGAGCAGGCAGCCAAGTGTCACCCCCTGCCCCCCCGACTCTCTCCTCAAATGCTGCCAAATATGGGCTAGTGCAAACAAAGAAAATGTGTGCTGAATAGGATGTAGTAGTCAGCCGGTGTCAAACAAATACAAAGAAGAAAGTCGATGTTTCCAAATAGGTGAGGTGGATGAAAGCAAACCAGCATCTGGGTGAGCGTTGATCCAAATCACAACTTATGCTTAATTAACTCAGGGGCAAGTTGTGCAAAAGAAGGGGGGCGCTTTGCTGATTAGATTTTTCACTTTCCCCTTTGATTCATATAATTAGCTTAAGTTTTGCAATGTGAAACTGTCAGTGCTGCAATGGAGAGTGTAATATTAGCAGCAACATGGGGTATATTGAGCTATGCAAAAAGAAAAAGAACCATTATCAGATCATAACTATTTTTTTAAATATCATACTCAAGCATCAATGGGGACATTTTTTCATGAGCTCATGCAGTTTTAACAAATCTGTACATGTGCTTTAAGGTAATTAAGTGAAAATATATGAAAACAAAAAGAACGACCCAGTGAGTCAGGCACAGCTGCAATGACGACACATTCCTCTGAAACAATACCTTGAAGGGAAAGAAAAAGTCCCCATACACTAGCCTATTTCCAAACCATATGTGACAAGACAAAAAGGTTAAAGAGGGGTCTTTTGTTTAACTAAAAATCCCTACAATCAAAACCAAAAGTTATTTCCAGTTCAATGGGAGCAGAGACAAGGGGTCCTGACTGCTAGAGAGCCCATATGGTCCCTGGGGGGCAGGCAGGGAGCCTGAGAGCAACACAGCCTCAGAGCTGCTGGATCACATTTCAAGCCCGATGCTTCATCAGAATGACCTATAGTAAACTCAGACGGGCTCAGAGAGAGAGGTTACTAAAGGGCATTTCCACTGCGTTGGAAACAAAGTGATCAGATAATGAACTGGCTTTTTGGTTTTGGTTTTGTTTTTTTCAATACCCAAAACAAAGTGTTCCCAGCAAAACAAGTTACATCAACCTCAAGTGTATTTCGCCAAATTAACCGGTTAAAACTTTTATAAAGTTAAATAAAAAACATTTGTAACTCAATGTTTGGATTGAGAAATGTAAAAACGATTTGCATATTTCAGTAAGGAACGCTTATCACAACCAGAAACATCAGCCATACCTTGTCTGCTCCTGCAGGATGAGATGGGGTTCCACAAAAAACTTGACCCGCAGCCTCAGCCGACAGGGTGTCACGTTATCCATCTGCTGGCAGATGCGGTTCCTCAGATTCAGCCACAAATTCTCTCCTTTGCTGCCAGTAAACTGCAACCCAAAGTAGTCCACTTCAATGATGCCCAACTTTCTGCAAACCTGCAACGAGGTAAAAAGGAGATTCGATCACAAAAAGGGAAAAATCTGCATTAAAACCAACATTAAACAGACAAACCAGGCAAAAAGAGGGAGACTGCAAACATATCGAGTAACCTCTGTGATTCTAGAAGGTTTACTTCTAAGGGATACAACTCAAATCCTCTCAAGGAGGCTCATCAAAATCTATCCCACCCCTAACCGTAGCACGGATGGTCATGTCGTACATAACAACAGGAGAACATCTCTAGAAAGCCTGCAGGCAGAGATAATACCCATTTGTTACTGGCAGCAAGTTGGGAATATGCCCTGCATACAAAATACGCCATTTTTATTTTAGTAGAAGCAAAGCTGAGGCAACTGCTGCTTCTTTAGCAGAGAGGGACCCAAATAAAATTCAGTTTAGATCCAGATTAATCCTAATTAAATTGTTTGACAGCAAAGCTTATACCACATTAAGATGCATAACAATTTACAACATGCTGCTTTTCTAAACTTCACAGTACTCAGCAATACAGCAGGAGTCAAGTACAGATTAAACTAAAATGAAATCAATTAAAAACCAACATAAGAGAACTAAGAGGGTAGAAAATGTTTTATTTAGTCTGACCTTACATTTCCTTTCAATACAGAGCTTACAAGTTGTTTTTGATCAATTATTTAAGCCTAAATCAATACATATTCTTATTAAATAATCCATGAAGTTTCTTTTGCTTCGAGGAAATTTGTTTTTAGTGAGAATATGGACCTGATGGAGGGAACTAAAAGTGATGGTACCTGCAGCCATTTATAGATCAGTAAAAACAAACCCATCTGCCAGGAATTTAGACGATTTTACAGTCTGAAAAACTGGTTTCATGCACTATGAGGCATTAAACCGAGCCGTGACAACTTTATGAGTTATAACTCAGCAAGCATGGTGTGGAAATAGTTTAATGGTAAAAAGAGAAAATGCTTTTTAATTTCAATTAATCACTTTAATGGAGGCATGAAACTTTAAAAAAAATAACAGATTAAACCAGACTTAATCCAGTGGATTTTTACATTTAATTTCATAGTCATATAGAGTGGAATAGCTTCAACACGTTTGTTTATATTCCCATTTAAAAGCATAAGAGTTCCTGAACTTATAAGATCTATTTAGTTAAAATCTCATTTTAGTTTAAAGGAGCATGTTTTCCCACAGATGCTGAAGCCTAATAAGGCTGAGTTTAAATGATGAGCGCGTGCAAAACACAATGACCTGTAGTAACCTCTGCCGGAGCCATCTGCTTTTGGCAACACAGGAAGAGTTTAACACGTGAAAACATTTCTGCACCGACACAAACTTATATTCACAACACAAATAATACTTAACTGTTTAAAAAAAGTATGTTTTTCTAATAGGAAGTTCAATTCTTAACAGAATAAATTAATCACAACAATGCTTAAAAAGGGAGACTCAAAGATAGGAAGGCATAATAACAGCTTCGTCCGAATGTGACAGCGCGTTTTATTCTTTTTTATTTTTTTTAAAAAGTCCCACACAAACCATATCTGTGCATTAGATGTTTTAACAGCAGTCTTACCTTATTAAGACAGTCTTCTCCGTTCGCCTTCGCGTCAACTTCCACTTCCATCACCACCGAGTCCGGGCGAGTAACGTGGCAAAGCATTTTTTGGCTTCGTGTTTTGTAAAGTCTTTGGTCAGCCACCCTTTAAAACAAGAACACGATTCTCTTGCCTTCTTTTAAAAACCTAAACATCAAGCCGTCATCACTTTCTCATCACTGTTCACTACTGTGGCTAATCTGCTCCCCCTCAGCTGGAAGTAATATCAATGAAACAGTCTTATAGCTCCGCCTACTTAACGGGTATCCAATCATCAACGCTTTATCAACGCTCGTGGAATCCGCCTTAGCCAATTGAAAGTGTTGTTACATCCGCAATGTGGAGGATCTAGTTTATTTCATGTTTGAGAGTCAGTCTGCCCCCTAGTGGTGGCTCAGTTGCAATTTTTGAATGCACACCTGAAAATAATAAATGAGAAATTCCATCCAGAGCACTTCAGGGTAAGTTTAACGGCTTTCAGGATTTTTTTGTTAATCATTTATAAGGTTACGGTTCAAAAAATAGTTGCAGTACTTGCGTGGTAACTTCCCACTTCACCTTTTTTCTGCAACCCAAGGCTTTTATGAATATTTTATTTTCATTACAATTTAGCCCTGCTTCCTCCCCAGCCCTCTGTCACTACACTGGAAAAACGATCTAGAAATAAGTTAAAATTTCCTTAATGAAGTGTATTTACCCTTAATTTGATTAGGTAAATAAGATGAGTTTGCCAATGGAGTTAGTATTTTTACTCTTATATTAAGATAATTAGATAATATGCACTTGAAATAAGACAATGCAATTGTGTTTTCTTATTTTAGGTGTAAATTGTCTTGTTCCATTGGCAAAATGTCTCTTTTATCTCCTCAATCCAAGAACAAATGCACTTATTTTAAGAAAAAATGACAAATCTAGATTTAGATTTTTTTCCAGTGTACTTGAGGAACACAACAGCTTTAATCTTTTCTAAATTTGTCATTTTCATAAAAAACGCAACAATTTCAGACTTTATCCTGTAAAGTGCGGCGCTGTCTTTTGTGATTTGCAGAGAATTAAAAAATGTTAATAGTGCTTCCAACCATGGAGCTTAAGTGTTACTAATTTTGGCAACTAATATTTCTGTGACCTTATTTCAGTATGTGTTCTGCCTCATTGCATCCACAACAGTGACTGTTTTATCATATATTATTCAGCAGCACTGCATTGCGATGAAGGCAAACCAGCCAAGGAAAGTGAAGGGAAGAGCAGTCCTCCACTTAAAACCATGGAGGGCATGGTATTCAGCCAAGCTTATCATTTGTTTGCCAGAGAACAATTTAGAGTGGAGACAGACTGCCTCTGCAATATATTTGCACTCTTTTCACAGCTGCATTCATTGGTTAGCCTGTTTGATTCAGATATAACAAAAGGACACCCTTAAAAAAAAAAAAAATGTGCCTTATGAAAATATTTCAAGCCTCCATCATTTTTTCTAACTTTACATCCATATACTAATTCACCAGGACTTCCTATCATAGACCCACTTCAATTACATAACTGTTATACTGAAGAAAAGTTGTTGTTTTTTTCTCCACAAATGCTTCCATACCTTTTAGTCCCACCTTTTAATAAACTTTCAGCTTCAAATATTTTGGAATTTGTGTCACCCAGCTTTATATAAATAAAATGGCCATTATTCTTTGTAAAATGGATCAAGCTGCGTCAGTTTAAACAGAGAGCATTAGCATTACGGTATATCATTAGTCTTGCCATATATTCTCATTTAATATACCTCTGACCTTGGATTGGGTCATTCTTTAATAGGAATATGCTTTAAAAGCATTGACTTGTATCTCTGAAAATATGTCCAGAGTTGTTATCTTGCTGGAAGGTGAACATTTTCCCTAGTCTGACTCCCTTTAGTAAGATGTTGCTCTCTAGAACACCCTGTATGTAAATCTGTCTATCATTGCATCAAATCTGAACATCTTCCCTGTCCCTGTTGATGGAAATCTTCCTGGCAGCAGAGTGATTCCAGGACTAGGTTTCAGTATGCTCAGAATCATCTGCACTGTCAGTTTCCTGCCCACACGGTGACTTGAGATATGCTCAAAATCTGTCACACCGCACTTTGTTCCACATGTTTTTTTTGGGTTCTGGTAAACTAGAAAAAGTTCCGATTGATAAAAGCCAGATTTGTCAAGTGTGTGACTAGAAGTGGTTTAACTGGCTGACTGAGTGCCACATCTATATATATATATCAGTTCAGGTGCCATTATAACCAACCGTCTTCTAAAGGCCATTGTTTGCACTAGATTTTTTTAGGGGGGAACTTAGAGTAAACTGAGATAAAGGCAAATGCAGAGCACCCATTTTAGATTTATATTAACAAAAAAAAATCAACATCAAATAAAAAGAACATGAAAGTTGAAATAAGCATGAATACTTTGACAAAGATGCACTTAGACAACTATAAAGAGCCATGGTGTAAAATCTCAATGAAGATGTTCTGTTCAGTAATCCTCAGTATAACTGAGTAATAAATGAAACTCCGATTTAGTAAAAAAAAAACTAGAATGTTTGATTAATCTTGGAAATCCAGATAATGACCATGTGTTTACTACAGCCTGTTTCACAACAATAAAGTAAACAGTGCGCAGCATGTTTGTGACCCTGAAGGATAGATTAATATTTGCAGGACACACTGTTCAATAACAAGCTTAGCAACTTGCCAAAAAAAACAACATAACCTTTCTACCTTGTTTGTCAGGGTTAAAAAAATATTGGTTTGTATAATGGTTTACTTTTCACACGTATATATATTTATACATAGCAGGATCCACAAGGGGTCCATCCTTGTATAAACCCCTACTTTTGTCATAAAGATAATTGTATTTACTGATTGCTTGTTTGTCCAAAAGACCCTTACAGCCTTGAAATGAAATATTAACTTACCCAAAATATATAATTTATACTCTAATACATAATTTATATCACATATACGTAGTATATAAATAACAAATTAGTTGCAACAAGGATTCTATTCTTTTTTTAAATAGAACTACTTGTTTAAACTGTGTGAATGGAATAATTATTTTCTGGGTTCATATTGTTATTCACTTCTAGCTTTAAATGGGCTAATCTTTTCAAGTCTTGATGCGTACACATTGCAGATGAAAACGACATTTAAAAGTGGAGAATTTTTTTATTTTTTATGCCAAAAGTGAGGAATGAGAAGTAAGATTAGAGGAACGAAGAATGATGGACAGCAGGGTCAAAGGTGAGGGAAGTCACTGAAAGTGCAGCAGCTGAAAAAATTAGGAAAATTATTTTAAAGTAAAAGGAGAAGATTAAATTATCCAGCCTATCAAACTGACCACCATGTATATATGATCCGTATAAATTCCATTTCATAGATATTCGGTTTGGTTCACTTTGTGAGACATTTTGCTGCTCAGCACAGCTACCAGGTTCTCCTACAAGATGCAGCTGAGATTAGTCTGCATGGTGATGGATGGTAAAGGGATATTTAAGTTATTTCCTGAATCTCTTGTATTTTAATGTATTAAATGAAACATTTGTTTTCCTTGCTTAACCCATGCAGAGAATTTGTCATTTGTTATTTAAAAGCAAAAGAGCATATACAAAGCTGTTAAGTGCTTTTTGGATTTTAAGTCGATTGCATTGACATATTAGATATTTACTTACGTATTTCAATTAGAAGATCCAGTATTGCCACCCTGCCTAGACACGTTGAGCCTCCTTTGCTTTCCTATGTAAAATGTTCTACATCTACCAGTCTTTCTATACAAAAAACGCATACAGTTGCATCAAAAGTTGAGCTAAATCATTGATCATCTTATCTGCTGAGAGTAAATATGTCATTGATTTGTGAACAAATGAGTAAATACTATTAAAATAATATCTTGGCTGTTGCAAGTTAAACTGTCATGGTACTTAATGGATCGCCAAATGGTTTTCAGACTGTAAAGATTGCATTTAGTTACTAATTTTCAAATAACTTGAATTTTATTTGCAATGATTGATGATGAACTCCTTGCATGTGTTTGAAGGGTTAGGCACTCTGGTTCATTAAAGGTCTGCAGAATTCTTCTCAAACAGAAACTCAGCAACTTTATCAGCTGCAACGCATGCAGCTCCTTCCCTGTGTGATAAGGTCAGATAGCATGTCAGAACACGCTGCTGTCCTTTTGCCCAAGGTGACGTAAGCCCTTGGTGACTGCCTGGAAAGAAATGTCTGAGCTGGCTCCACAGGCATAAATGGAGAGGAAGGAAAGGGAGTCAATGAGCCAACATCCACTATTAACCTGGCTTTGTTCTCCAGTGTCAGAAAGAACACATACTCATAATATTATTATTACAACTACGTAACAAGGGGGATATTTTATCCAGAGATCAGTTTAACATGTGAACTACAGAAATCTAAAAGTATCTCAGAATGGACTATATGCACAACTCCTCTACTTCCTGAACTTCAGCCACCTTCTTTGTTTCGTCTTTCACTGCATGACCAGGTGTGTGTGTGACCTCAGGAACCATGACAAGAAGTGTCAGACACACCTGGATTGATCAGTCTGTTCAGCAATGAAAGGCAGAAAACAAAGGAGCTGGTTGAAGTTCTGGAGGAAGTGAGGTTGGACATTTAGCCTTCTCAATTTAGGAATAAAATATTGGAATGTTTTTTTTAAATAAATTTTTTATAAAATACACATTTAGAAAATATAGTTCTGCAAAGCACACATGGTTAGCAGTTAAGTATTTACTTAAGTTTTTTTTAAAGTTTTAAAATGTAGCTTATTCTTCATTAAACTGACTGGCAACATATAATAAAAACAAAAACAAGTGTTATACAGCTGAATACTGAATAGTCATGTTTTATTAAGCTTGTGCCTATCTTAAATTACATATCAAATCTTTAAATCTTTTATTTTTTATCAAAATTAAAAACAAAGAAAATAAATTGCATCTTGAATTGCAGTCAGTCTTTTATCATTCCACATTGTTGTTGATTAAAAGAAAAAAACTATATAATTCATTTAGAATGAAACCGTTTCATTCAATTTAATCATTATTAGAACTCAAGGTTACATTAGTTGCTCCTCATTCAGATTCTTTGCCTTTTTGTAATTTTGCAGATTTAGTATTTGCGTAGCCAACCTTTTGTTGTATGGAAAGACGGCTACAGCAGCAATTCATGCCAGTTTTA